ACAATCTAGGTCCTTATTTTACCCACCACAGAAGGATGGAATGCTGAGTCAACCTTGAGCCGGGTGAGATTCGAACGGCCAAATTTCAGGCAACCGGCAGGCAGCAGAAGTAGCCTGCAGTATTGCATTCTAACCACTGCACCACCATGGCTCTTTGCTCTAGTAGCAAAGGTACAGGAGTAAGTAGCAGAGTAGCAGCCGTTGCACAGGGCAAAGAAAATGTAATGGCACACAGCCCCTAATAATTTCATACATCATAAGAAACAATTGAGTCTCTGGCACCTCAGAAGAGGGATGCCAACATCTCTTTCCATTTACCCCACAACATGGGTGGGTTCTACTTACCTTTACCACCGTTTCGCAACAGGATCATGCGTGTGCATGCGCAGAAGCTTCTGCTCATGCGCAGATCACTGATGATGACATCTGGGGTGGTGGGCGGGGCCTCCCGCCTGTTTTACTACCGGTTCTTGCAAACCGGTCCAAACCGGGGGCAACCCACCACTGCCCCACAACTATATAGTTTTTGCAATTGTTGTTACAGGTACATAAACTTCTGAATGAACTCAAAAGAGAAATGTTCTATCCATTACCTCTTGCTTTTTTAGCTTGATATCTATATTTAAGGCATCCATCTAAGCCATCCCAAATGCCTTGAAGACTCTATACTCCGTGAGCTAGCCTGAGCAGCAGGGGTCGACTGCTGGGGGTTTGCAGGGGTTTGGGAGAACCTCTATCTAAGATTCTGTGCAGTTCGGAGAAACCCCAAATCCCTGGCTGGCCCCTCTCGCCCCACCCTGCCCCTCCCAGGAGTCCCCACGCAGCCTGTTTTAGATGCAGGTAAGTGCAGGGTGCACGTGGAGGCTCAGGGAGGGCAAAAAACAGACCTACTAGAAGTTTGGGAAGGCTGGAAATGGGGAGGCCGTTTTCACCATCCCGGAGGCTTGAGGAAAGCCTCCAGAGCCCAGGGAGGGCAAAAACAGACACACACACACACACACTGTCGCCATGGTGCAGGAGGCCGACTAGGCTATGCCTACCCAGCAACTGGGCAGAGAACCCCTTGCTAAAATTTTTGAAGCTCACCCCTGCTGAGCAGTATCAGGGTATCAAACAAAGTCTGTCTTCAATTTCATTTTCATTTTAAGCAATGAGAATTTGGTCCCCACTTTTAGCAAGGCAAAAAAAGCCTTACGACATGAAGCCTTCCTGCAGATTTCAAAGATCAGTTTCAATCAAAGAGCAGAAAGTGGGAAAACGGTTTGCAGCTCAAAGAATAGAGGTACATCCTGACAAGTTTATGCCCAGAAGGGGAATGCACTTGCTTTTCTTCTGCTTTCACACACTTGGGTAATAAGCATGCCAGTATCAAGGTGGGGTGGGAGAAGCCATACCATCTACCTCTCCTTCCAAAGATTCACATTTCTCCCTAGCTCTCTCCATTGATCAAAGCTTAATAATGGCTTTGTTCCTACTGTAGAGAAGCTGTTAAGTGAGCAATTTCCTTCTTCGTCCAGAAAATTCAGACTCTGCGTTCTCTATCTCTAGCCAACGACAACAGCCAATGAAAGATTCATAATAGACTGTTAAAGCCAGGAGTGCAAACCACTGTAATCAGTTAGCTTAGCTTGACTGGTAATATTCCACATTCTGTAAAATTATAGTTAAGCATTCATGCTCTGTGCCAGTAATATTCCTGAACAAGCATCCAATTAATTGCTCCAGAGATGAACGGATCTGGTATGTACAAGCTATGAGGAACATAATTCAAATAAATACTTTTTTTTACATGTGGTTCCAAAACAACTAAGAATTGGCTAGAAAAACCTAGAATTTCTCAAGAGAGACCTCCAATTTGAATCGATCATCACTCTTTCCTTGCTCACTGGAAAGATAAAAGAAAGGGAAGAGGATTGCTGGAAGCCATAATAAAATCTAATGAGGTTTGATGGAGTAAACTCTTAGTGGGATTCTCATATGAGAATCCTCCCACGTTACCATTTTTTCTAATGACGATCACAAGCAATTGGTAAGAAAAAAAACTATGACCCATAGGAATCTGCTCATCCTCTGGATGGCAGAAAAGAGGCACCCCATGTTTCTCTGACTTCAGCTGCCTTGAGTCTATTAGCTGAGCAACAGAAGCAGCTGCACACATTCACTTTCACATTGTTTTACACACTTTTGAAGCCCTACGTGGCTAAGTGCCAAGATACTGATCCAATTGATGGTATTCTCCAGCCACTTTTGATCTGCCCAATACATACATGCTGAGAACACTTACTAGTGGCTTCCATTATCATAAAGTGAGAAATCCTAGAGAAGTTGTACCTACACTTCGATTTGATTTGATTTGATTTTTTGATTTATATGCAGCCCTTCTCCGGAGACTCAGGGCGGCTTACAATGCATTAAGCAATAGCCTTCATATTTTTGTATATTTATACAAAGTCAGCTTATTGCCCCCACAAACTGGGTCCTCATTTAACCTACCTTAGAAAGGATGGAAGGCTGAGTCAACCTTGAGCTTGGTAAGATTCGAACCTGCAGTAATTGCAGGCAGCTGTGTTAATAACAGGGTGCTTTAGACCACTGTACTACCAAGGCCCTTTGGAATAGGCTTCACACACACACACACACACACACATTCCTAAATTTAGTAATTCCTTACACTTCTGTCTTTCTGCAATCTGTTAAAAATTGAGCCTTTGAGGGATAAATTGACATTTGGTAGTTGTAGAGTTCTGCTTGCAAAGTTATTTGTGTTATGTTGTTGTCCCCATATATTTCCAATTGGAGATATTTTATTGCATTGTGGGTTTATTGTAAACCACAAAGACTCTCTTACTGTTTATGGGGAGAAATCCAACAAATAAATAAATAAGAGTTCAAACCTTTTTTCTTCTATTCCTAGAATAGCTCTCTTCTTTCAGTTTTAGAACCCCATTAATCCTTCCCTGCAAGAAGCCACAGGATGGATCAGATGTTGATGGGAGAGACAGTCTTGTAAAAATCCAGTTCCAAAGTCAAAGTGACAATTTGAAGTATAGCTGGAAACAAACCTGGAATCAGTGCAATGACCATATATAGGAGTGGCATATCATTTTCCAATATAAATTTCATATGCTTTCTTGAACAAGAAGACGAAACAACAGCAAAAAAGCAGTTTCACTTTTTACGACCAGTAATTGTCTGTCTTCATCATACCGAGAAATTTTCTAAAAAGGTAAGTAACATGCCTGAGGTTCGCAAATATAATGCAGTTGAAAAAAAATGTTCATCACAGTGAATTCACAGTGCTTATTGGCTGTCATTCTACAGTGTTGTTATTGAATTTCTAGTCCATCTTGTTGTTGTTATTAGTTGCGAAGTCATGTCTGACCCATCGTGACCCCATGGACAACGTTCCTTCAGGCCTTCCTGTCTTCTACCATCCTCTGGAGTCCATTTAAGCTCATGTCTATTGCTTCAGCGACTCCATCCAGCCACCCCATTCTCTGTCATCCCCTTCTTCTTTTGCCCTCAATCTTTCCCAGCATTAGGCTCTTCTCCAGTGAGTTCTTCCTTCTCATTAGGTGGCCAAAGTATTTGAGTTTCATCTTCAGGATCTGCCTTCTAAAGAGCAGTCAGGGTTGACGTCCTCAAGGACTGACCGGTTTGATCGCCTTGCAGTCCAAGGGACTTGCAGGAGGACTTAGATTCCATCTTAGATTTATCCAAATTTGTCTCTTCACACCAACCAATATCCCCAATGAGAGACCTTTTTACTAGGGTAGGTGAAATGATGATATCCATCACTCACATCTAATACAGATTTAGTGTGACAAGTCGTCTCCTTCTAGAATTTAGATGAATTCCTTCTGCTGACCTTTTCAGTCTTGTCACAAGAGGAGGACTGAGGACTAGTCCCTGATTCACCATCCAGACTTTTACTATCCACCTTCTTTTCATCCATAAATGACAGTGATGATAGCCGAATGATGTCTCTCAAAGTCGCTCTCAACTGGGTTGCAATCACGTTAGCTCATCACTTGAAAAGACTGTGACCACAAACATGTTTTACTTGGTTAGCGTTAACCTTAAATTTTATATTTGAAGTTTCATGTATTATTTGAAATTAGGCTATTTAGCTTATGGTAAGTATTACCATAATTACAACCTTGCTTATAAGGGGAGAAGTTCCTTTTCTTATGACCAGAACACTCAAAACAAGTTGAGTTTTGTTCTATATGGAATCCAGAAAACACAAGTCATGTTCAACTTTGTTCCAACAAATAGTCAACTTTAAATGCTTGGAGAGAACAAACAAGCGGGTTGTTTGTTCTGATCTCAAAACAAAAATATTTTTTTCCATTTTATGTAGACTCTTAAATAGCTACTTCATTGAAATATTTTTGGAACTTTCTTAACATTTGCTGAAGCAAATCCAAGAGTGTAATTTTTGCGTATATCCTTGGACCTGCTCTAAATATGCATCAGAGTCTCTCACTCTTGCATAAAATTATTTCTGCGCTCATGAGGTTAACTGAATAGTATGCAAGCAAATCTCTTGGAAATATAATTGCCGTGCTACATCAAACATCAGTCTGCACTTTCTCTCTCATTAATTTCCACATCATTTTTGTCTTGCTATTCACTTCATCATCTAATGTGATTCCCCTAACACTACAAACTATGTTCCAGTCCAGCTAAGGCTTTCAGACTTTAAATGGAAGAAGATTGAAGCAAATCAAACATATTATTGCAATTAAGAATCTCTTGGGATATTTCTCATGTTTTCTTGCTCTCTCAATGTTCAATGTGCTTAGCTGGAAAAATGAAGCTTGTCTTGTAGAGGGGAAAGGTCTAGAATCAAAACTGGTTCACACATTATTTTTTGATGTTCCTTTTTTTTTTTTTGTACATGTAACTTACATATAAAACCTATATTTAATATGCCAGCCCTACCACTAGGCAGTGAGGCAGCTGTATTAGACTGCCTATTTGAGTTGTTATGAAAGAAGAGTGAAATATGATTTATTATAGCTATATTTTAGAAAGAGGAAATGGTGTCATATCTGCATTAAGGCCAAATTATGTGGCCTGCTTTAGTTACTATGTTTTGCTTTGGATGTCTTGGTTCATTCCTGTGTACGTCAGGATCTTGGGTCACAGAATTCATGGAAGTTACCTAATGGAACATGGAAAACAAAATGTTTTAAGTTCCCAAGTACCTCTTCATCCATTAGGTTTATGTCAGCCAGAAGCAAATGATTTTAGCATTAAGAACTCGAACATTTCACAGTCTAAATCAAGAAAATATTTTTCTGCACTTTACTTGAAACATTATCTGGTAGGTCTCTGCTCTTAAAAATTGCCAACTAATTGTCACAATGTTCTCTTCCACCAAAGAATGAAATCCATAATAATGTAATATTATACTATTAGTTGTGGAGGGATGTGTATATTTTTGCTGTTCTATTTAAAAGCATTATAGAATTTCTCCCTCTTTTTCTATCTTTTTTCAGGTGCTAAAGAAATAATATTAGGGTAGGGGACAGGAGAGAAGGTGAGAAGGAGGAAAAGAAGAGAGGAGTGGGGGAAAGGAAGGGGAAGTAGGATGAGGTAGGAGAGGAGGAAGGAGAAAGTAGGAGAGGAGAGGAGGGAAAGAAGGGAAAGAAAGGAGGTGGAGAAGGTTTGTTGCGAAATGAGGGAAGAAAGGGTAGAAGAGCAACTCTGAATGTAATTAAAATGCCTTATTTTAATGCTTTAAGGAAAACATGTATATGTATGATTAATTATGTATAAGAAAATGTACATTTTATATTATGTGTATAAGAAATAAAAATGAAAAAAACTTTTCCAAAAAAAAGAAAAGAAAAGAAATAATATTACATAAATTATATAAATGAAGATTTTCAAAGAGTTGGACGTTTATCTGATTCTTTAGCAACAGGCCTACATAAAATGTAGTGAAGAAAAAACAACAACCTGCGTTTTCTTTTCTTAAATTGACCATTTATATAAAATCAGCTATGCTGTCCCCTTTTACCTACCAAGTTCCTATCAGAGTTGAACTTTATTCCAATCAGAGGTGGGATTCAGCCGGTTCGAACCAATTCGGGTGAACTGGTAGTTGCGACCAGGCCCACCCACCCGGGCGCAATCCTGTCCTATATTGCTGTGTTTTTGATGTCGCACACATGCGCAGATGGCACATGCAAGCAAATTGCCGTGTTTTGTGACACCGCATGCATGTGTGGATGGCACGCACAAATGAATTGCCATGTTTTATGATGCTGCATGTATGCGCGGGTGCTCACATTTCTGGTGCTGGGAGAAATGGTAGCTACAGTATATGAATTCCACCTCTGATTCCAATGGCTATTCCTCTGAGAATATCCAAGGATAAATTACACTTATTTAAAGGAGGGAAACAATAGATGTCTTTTAGACAAGCCTATATACATAAACTGTAAATAAAGTTCAAAATCTACAGCAGTAAAACTGATCAAAAGGCACATCAAGGCACTGTTGCAATTTAGGCCAAGACCAAATAATCTCTGATTATTTTCAGAAAACATTTTCATTCCCAGAAGGCAGAGATTGTATTCTATTCTCCACATTGTCAGGAAGTGCATGCTCTACTTCAGCAGGTTGGCTGTTGCTTCCTGTCCATTTTTCCCAATATGGCCATTCTGTTGTAGCCTAAAACACAGCTGCAAAGTTTAGGTCAGCTTCACCTCCGCCATTTCTAGGGAAGCATGGGGAGGAGCTTGCTAGCAACAAGGCAGAGGGGGACAGAATAATTGGGAGAGCAGGTTTCCCTGTGTGTCCTTAACTTCAAGACATCCTCCACCCAGTCCAGCCAAAGGGGGATCCAACCAGGATGGCATTGTTCAGGGCACAAGACAATATGGCCACTTTGGGAAAGAAAGGCACAGGCTGAAGGCGAGAGGGTTGAGGCTCTTATAGCAGACCTTCCTGGCAAGGGAATGCACCTCTAGATGCAAAGGGTGTGGCACATATGTTTATGCAGATTCTCAATCATCTAGGTCATGGGTGTCAAACTCGCGGTGCCATGTTGCCGTCATGTGATGTATCGTGACATTTTTCCCCTTTGCAGAGCTGGGGTGGGCATGGCCTGCGTGTGACACATCCGGCATGCAGGGCCCCAGTTTGACACCCCTTATCTAGGCCATGTTTGTCCCAAAGGTGCTTTTCCAAAAGGCAACTGGATTTTCTTGTTTTTCCTTGAAAACATTTCACTTCTCATCCAAGAAGCTCCTTCACTTCTTCAGAACCTTCTTGCATGAGAAGCAAAACATTTTCAAGGGGGAAAAAAAACAACAAGAAAGCTCAGTTGCCTTTTGGAAAAGCACCTTTTAGGACATGTGACAGATATGCACTCCTGATGTCACCTGAAGCTTGAACTCTGGAGAGCTCCCCATCAAGGCTGTTGTTCAACCAGCACTCAGGACCTGCCCTCAGAAGCTGTCTTCAATCAGCATCAGCATTCCATACATTCTTACATCTCCTGCCCAGTCTGGCCATCTTCCACCAGAGACAGTGTTAAGAGTGGTGAGTCTTAGCTCAAGTTTTACTTGAAGGCCCCAAATTCTCAGGCTTCTCAATTAATTTTAACTGGAAAACACCAAATGCCAATTCCTTTTTTCCCCCCTTATTCTTGTAGGGCAGAATGTATTTATTTAATCCATTTTAGCCTGCTTTCCATTAAAATCTGAAGCTGAACTAAATTTGCACTAATTGCAGCTTCTTATAAGAGGGTGGCCTGTGCCAAATTGAAGACAAAACATTTTCCCCCTTTGAGAACTGCCAATATACTGTATATTTTTTTTTTATTTCTTGCCAGAATTGGAAATAATTTTCAGGCATTGCTGCATCTTCCGAGGAGACAGATTCTGCCAAGTTTCAGATGATTAAGTTCAAAGATTTTATGTTGCTATTCCACAACAATCAAACCAAATATTGGTGTTCTCATGAAATGAGAAATGCTGCCCTATTAGTTCTCTGCCACAGGGAAAGGGCAAAAAAATAGTTCTGTTTTATAATAAAATGTGTTTTTATTTCATAAATGTTATGCTTAGTTGCATAATCTAACACTCTTCAGTTTCAACTCACTAAAGCAAGGGTGTCAAACTTGATTTCATTGAGGGCTGCATCAGGGTTGTGTTTGAACTCAGTGGACTGGGATGGGCATGGACAGGGGGCATGGCTACCACAGGAGTGGGTTCTACTTACTTTTACTAATGGTTTGCAGCGGGGCCACGCATGCGCTCTTCTGCGCATGCACAGAAGAATTTTGGTGATGTCGGGGTCGGTGGGCGGAGCCTCCCGCCGGTTTTACTACCGGTTCTATAGAACCGGTGCGAACCGGGGACAACCCACCACTGGGCCACCATGACATCACTCATGTTGGGGGTGCCTGTGGTAGCCTGAGTGCTTTACCAGCAAAAACGGGCGCCTGGGTCCCGTTTTCAGCCCCGACAGTCTCCTGCAGCCTCTGCCAGCGAAAACAAAGCTTGGGGGGCTTTGTGCGCCCCCCCCCACAGCTCTGTTTTTGCTGAAAATTGTTGTGCCACAGTCTACCAAGTATAGAAGAAGAGGAAGAAACAGAGGCAGAGTCAAGAGAGGAACAAGCCTAGAAAACTATGTTCCCACAAGTGGTCCAACTCCAGCCCCCTTGAATTCTGTTGACTCTTATCTAATTTAATGGTTGGCCAATTTAGTACTGACTATTACTTGACTAGATTCTTGTGTATAGATTTAAGCAATAAATCTTCTTAACTGGGACTTAACATATAGTCCTAATTCTCTGCATGTGACATCAAGAGGTTTTTAATTCTGTATTTCACTTAGATTGACTATAATTACCACAGAAAGCCTAGAAATTTTATCTGGAAGCATTCATAAGCTCTGACATTACTGTGTTTAATAAGCCACAATCGGCTGGATTCAGATATCATACTAAACCGTCCATTATCATACCATTATTTTAAAACACAGTATATTGACCCAAACCAAACAAACCATATAATTGATTTAGCATGATGTCTTCCCATTTAATAGGTAGTATAAGATCAGGCCTCAGGTCAAGGTGAGTTCTTTCATAGATTATATTAAGATGATTTTCTTGGCAATAGTGTAATTCCTATCACCATCTTTCAGAGGTTTTTTTTTTTTTCAGCTTCCCAGTCTAGTCTATATTTCAGAGATTTCCTAATGTTATCATATCCAGGTTTTTTTTTAAAAGAAATTGGTTGATTGAGTGCTTCCACTTGTTTATATAAGTTTATGAGGAGTAGCTACTGATAATTATCCCCACAGTTAGGCCATTAGCATTATTCTCACATGATGGGGAATTAGGTGAATAATATATTGTTGACATATCTAAGGCCATTTCATAAGATCATGGTTAGGATATCATTTAAATTAGGTATTTAAAGAGACATTAAATGGATAATCCCAGTGCCATAAACCAAATAAAATTTTATTATAACCCCATTGCTTCTTCCTCATTAGTAGCCTCATAGCAAGAAACCGAAAAAAATATCTTTGTTTCCTGGTAAGGAGAAAAGTGCCTAGACTTCAACTTCAATAGTTCCCACACTCTTCTTTTATAATACAGGTAGTCATCGATTTACAACTGTTCACTTAGTGACCATTTGAAGTTACAACAGCACTGAAAAAAGTGACTTATGACCATTTTTTTACACTTATGACTGTTGCAGCATCCCCTTGGCCACATGATTTACATTCAGATGCTTGACCACTGACTCACATTTATGACGGGTGTAGTGTCCTGGGGTCATATAATCACCTTTTACAACCTTCTGACAGGCAACATCAATGGGGAAAACCAGATTTACTTAACAACCATGTTACTAACTTAACAACTGAAGTGATTCACTTAACAAATGTGGCCCAAAAAAGTCATAAAATGGGGCAAAGCCCATTTAACAAATTTCTCACTTAGCAACATAAATATTGGGGTCAATTGTGGTCATAAATTGAGGACTACCTGTACAAAAGAAATTAAGGATAGGACGTTCGTGCTAGATTCCCAGCCTGAAATAAAACCCTGATTTGGAACAATAACGCCAACTTCAACAGAGCAGAGCTGTGAATATTTGGCAACAGGCTTCGTTTGTTACTCTTTGGCCTTCATTTATATCCTTCCTGATCATTAAGGCAGGATGGCCAGGCAATCACCGCATCTTATCAACGCAAAGGTTGCGCCTCACCTTAGAAGAAAAGCAGATGTCTCTGGCTTACAAACCCTGCTTGGAAAAAGCCTTCACCCAGCCCACGTACCAACAACCAAAGAGGGGGCTCCTTTGAACAAAGAACCCAAATCGCCTCCGAAGCTGCAAAGCTCGTGAAATCCATCTTAAAATCGGGCAGGCAGGACTGAACCATTTTCTTCAAAAGAGGACGATCTGCTCTTTTGTGGGTCCCGTGGGGGGGGGGGTGGTGGTAAAGAGAGGGACGGAGGGAATCATGTAATTCACTAATGCCCAAAGCACCATTGCCTCCTCCCTCCTTTACAATAAGCCCGCTCGGAAAAGAAAACCAATCTATTCCCCCCGTCCCCCCGCCTCCCCTACCCCGTTCTTGGGGGGCGCGGCGTTATGGATAAACAGCCTTGGGCTACAATTTGCAGAGCGCTTCTTGCTCAGCCGAGGATGCTGCGGCTTTAAGAGAAGCCAGCAAGGCTGATTGGACCTAAAGGAGAGGAGGAGGAGGAGGAGGGAGGGAGGGAGGGGGGAGAAGGGGAGGAGTGAGCGGCGACCGCGGGGGAGAGAAAAATGGGCATCTTTTCTGGGCTTCTCCGAAGGGATGGATGCGATTTAGAAGAAAGAGGCGCCCGCTGGAGCTAGGCGGGGGCTCGTCCCTGGGACCGGCAAGCAAGCTTGGCCAAAGCGAGGGTGAGTAACACGCGCTGTGACATGAAAGAACTTCGCTCGCGTCCGTCCTGCTCGTGTAAACTGCCTCTCTGCTTCTCCCCTTGCACTTTGTTTCCCTTTTTTTTTTTTTTTTTCCTCTTCAACTCTGGTACGATCTTGAGAAATCTAAGAAAACCTACATTTCGCAACTCTTCCGCAACTTCTTTCGGAAATAAGTCTTCGAGCTTGCGAGTTGATCCTCTCTCCCCTCTCCCTCTCTCCCTTTTCCCCTCCCTCCCTCTCCCCATATCCCTCTTCCCCTCTCCCCCCTCTCTTTCTCTCCCCCTCTCTGCCTCCCTCCCTCTCCCCCTTCCCCCTTTCCCTCCCCCCTCCCTCCCTCTCCCCATATCCCTCTTCCCTCCCCCTCTCTTTCTCTCCCCTCTCTGCCTCCCTCCCCCTCTCTTTCTCTCCCCCTCTCTGCCTCCCTCCCTCTCCCCCTTTTTCCCTTCCTCCCTCTCCCCATATCCCTTTTCCCCTCTCCCACCTCTCTTTCTCTCCCTCTCTGCCTCCCTCCCTCTCCCCCTTTTCCCCTCCCTCCCTCTCCCCATATCCCTCTTCCCCTCCCCCCTCTCTTTCTCTCCCCCTATCTCCATGCCTCCCTCTCCCCATATCCTTCTTCCCCTCTCACCCCTCTTTATCTCCCTCCCTCCCTCTCCCCTCCTCCCTCTTCTTCCCCCCTCTCTCTTTTCACGCGCATTCCTGCGCTTACTCTCCCGTAAGCGTGATGCCTTCCGCAGTATTCTCGAGGCAACCCCATTTCGGCCACCGGTGCTGGGCAATGCCGATCTTTCGAGCTGCACTTTTTCGAGAAAAGGCATTTGTTTTTAGAGAGAGAGAGAGAAAGAGAAAGAGAGAGAGAGAGAGAGACCCCTATGCAATAGTGCCTCAGAGGACAAAGCCTCGGAGGGGAGCGCGCTGGCTGTAAAGATGCAAATAATAATAATAATAATAATCAGCCTTTCGAAACGGCGCTTCGTGGCATAAAAACAAATTCGAATTCAAGAACGGTCATTTTAATCCATGGTGGTTCGTATGACGACTAGGTTTGGAACTTGGGCAGGAGACTGAAAATCTGAACCTGCTCAGGTGCGAAGGGAGAAGAATAGACTTGGGAAGAAAATATATATATATATATGCCTAACAAGTGGCAAGCTGATGAGAGTAAGCTGGTCAAATCCTTACAAATTTAGTCAAATGAGGGGATTAGGATTTATGCAGGTAAAGAGTTGGTGGTAGAAGGTCAAGCCATTCGATTTCTTGCTGTAAGTTTAAGGGAAAAGTTAATGCTGATTACAGACAATTGAAAAGTCAGATATTTCTATGATTATTCTATGAAATATCTATAGAATAGATATTTCTATTCTATTCTACTTCTATGGTTAATGATATATAAAAGAAGCAAAACTGATCCTCTGAAGATCCTCTGACATAGTGGAGCCCTAATCCTTACGCCACGGTTATCTGTTATTCCTAAAGGTACCGACATGATTCTTGTGCATTTGTGGACCAGTTGTGAACCTAGCGTAGCCAGCCTAGCTGAACATTTTAAGAAATGAAAGCAAATTTTCTCGTCTCAGGATGAACTTTGCTTCTCCAGAGGTTGCCTGCAACTTGGCTCTTGAACATGATCATGTGATACCTTTGCCACATAGCTAGCTTGCAACACTGGGGGGGGGGTGTTGCTTTACATGTGACAACTTTCCAGCACCAAGACAACTTTCATTTCACAAGGGAGAACGTCGTGTTCTGTCAAATCTGTGTGCTTTCGTCACCTGTGGGGCTGTTGGATCCAGAGTGGGCAAGTTGTCATCAGGCTGTTAAATGCATTTCAGCCTGTTTGCGATAGTGCAGCACAGTGTGAAGGGTGCTGCGCCTGGAAAGTGTGGTTAAAAAAATAAAAATAAAAAAAGCATGCAATTGCCATACACCATGTAATGAATTATGCAGGGATTTACACCCTCCAAATTCTCAGCAGATGTGTTCAACTTGCAAACTGTCACTGAATCCGTGTTGACATAATACTAAAAGAACGCTGGAAATGTTCTTTCTTCCTTGGCTCTTGGTGGTGCAAAGTGTTGGGAACGGCAAAAAGGAGATGAATTCTGTGTTTGTATTATGAAGAGATAAGATTCAGTATATTTTTCACGCTTCTCCATTAACTCATGCTGAGTACATCTTATTATGAATCTTAGTAAGCAAACTCGTAGGGAGTTGGAAGAAGGAAAGTTATTGATGCTATTGTTGTGTGTTTTGCGTTACACGCTTCCACCATGTAAAATATTGAATGTTATTCCAAGGGACGGGAAATAGATGGTGGAGTATACAAGTCACATACGGTAAAATGGCTTGCTTCATTCTAGTGTTTTTTCCCGAACGCCATCACTCTGCTAAACAAATAATTCTCTCACCACTGTCAAACTATTTACTAAGTCTGCATTACTATCAGTCTTCTCATCATTCCTATCACCCATCTCCTCCCACTTATGACTGTATGATTGTAACCTTATTGCTGGTATCCTTAAGATTTATATTGACTGTTTCCTAATATGATTTGATTGCTTATTTGTTCTCTATGACTATCATTAAGTGTTGTACCTTATGATTCTTGACAAATGTATCTTTTCTTTTATGTACACCAAGAGCATATGCACCAAGACAAATTCCTTGTGTGTCCAATCACACTTGGCCAATAAAGAATATTCTATTCTATTCTATTCTATTCTATTCTATTCTATTCTATTCTATTCTATTCTATTCTAGTGTAGCTGCTTCTGCAAACCCAGGCATTGTGATCTATAAACCAGGTTTGCATCTTACTATGTTTCAGACTAGCAAACTGGTTTTATTAATAACAATGATCAAAAAGCCATGGTTTAATAAAATGTGCAGATCTAGTCCTCGTGGGGCTCCAGGAGTATAAATTATTGCCATTATAACAATAACAGATTAAGTGTGTATTAAAGAATACAAGAGGAGAGGGTCCTAAATGAAACTTTGGATTCCCAAGACCTCTTAAATAGACTCAGAGAGAATGACTTCTGAAATACCATAGTAAGACTGCATATAAGTCCTTTTCTATGCAAATATTCTGTCATTGATTTAATGATTCTGTAATTTAATGATTCTGTAATTTATTTATAATTCTATAGTTATTCCTTCCTATTCATTATTTATATGTAAATGGGCAGAATTTTGGTTATGTTCTATAGTAGACCAGTTCTTAAACAGGGGAGATCAGCCCCCAAGGGGTAATTTGAGCATATCCTAGGTCTAATGGACTAATGTTTAATTGCTTGTCTGTGAGTTGAGGATCCAGTTTGGGACTGCTATGCTTGAATAAAACAACATTCTGGGTTTTGAGGCTTGGGTTGGTGATGATATTATTTGAGACTGAGGACAGGAGTAATTGAGTCAAACAGTTTAAGATAAGAACCTTTGTTCTATATTAAGCTTTGACTTTCCTGAATTGCACATTCAAATCATAATTCCTGTTCTATGCATTACTTTGTTGAGATACAAGAAATTCGAACCTGGTGCCTTTGTCAAAGAAATTCATGTTTCATTCAGACATTATTATTGTTATCTTTGGGGACATCTGACCCAGGAAGAGTCTGCCCCTCTATTCCACAGAAGCCAAGGTGGGCTGAGAATATCTCCCCTGGGAGAGCTTAAGGGGGACCAAATCAAAATTCAAAGTTCAGAAAGCATGTTCTTTTAAAGGTATGGCGGGGGGGTGGGGGCTGGGAATGCAATTTAGCAGCCAATCCATGAAAAAGTATTTACTTAGCTGAGAAGTCATGTGGTTGGTGTTAACTTTGTTGATTTTAATATTTAACTGTTTATTGTGGTATGTGATTTTTACCATATTGTGAACAATCTAGAGTCATCCACTGGAGGTAGCATACATGTTCTGCTATATATTATTAGCTGGATTCACTCATAATGCTTAGGGTGTAAACTATGGTTTTCCAAATTGCAGCGGCTGGGATCATGCTAAGCCAAAACCAAAGAAACCTACAGTAGGACTTACCAAGATGTTTCATTATCAAGTATGCAATATATTAGAAATTACTTAGAAGTACATCTTAATTTCATACCAGTGTTATGGGTATTTCCTTAGAGAAGGAATATTTTGTCTTTTTTTTTTTTTTTTTTTTTGCTTTATTTCTTCTTAGCGGTAGGAGGGAGTTCTTTTTCACCTTATCTCCTCCCTTGGTTCTTCCCACCAAAAATAGAAGTCAGGTAGCCTAAGCGATTCAGCCTCTTTCCAAATAGAGATCCCTATTTTAGATCTCTATTTTAACTATGATCACTCCCTAAGTCTAAAATGATAAAACGATCTCTGTGGTCATAGTTTCAGTGATTATTAGTACTTGAGCTTTGGGCTTTTGGAGAAGTCTTAGGTGGATATTGAAATCTTCTAAAGTAAGTGAGTCATATTTTAAGGAAGTCTCACCCATCTGAGTCTTAGTAAAATAGAGCTTTAATTCGGCGTAATGGGACTCTGCATTAATGTTCCAAATAAACAAGCTGTGTCCTAGACAGTACAAACAACAACTATCAGGTCCTGACCCTGAAATTGTACTTGTCTGTACTTCCTTGAAATCAATAAGCTGTTTGCAGGGTGCAAAGAACCCACGTGGGCATAATTGGGACTTCGGTTGAATGCTATTTAGAGGAACTGGCAAGAGGGGAGAATGAGAATGTGTGTGTAGCAGCTTCGTTTCATTCACTGTCTTGATGCTCACTTTCAAAATCAAATCAGAAAGCAATGCTCTGTGTTCATTAAATTGTGTCTTGCACAACTGTGCCTCCTGCCTGGGGTCAGCGGGGTCAAATATTCCATAATACTGGTAAATAGGAACAGTTTGCATTAAGGGTAGGCCAAAAAAAAAAGGTCAACCCTACTGAACAATGTGGCTGTGAACATTACACTGGACACTGTAAGGTGTCCATTATAAGGTCGCTAGAGGCCAGGACTC